AGTTCAGAACGTAGTCCCATGATCCTCATGTCCCGCATGCCACCTGATTCAGCTAGAGATTCTTCAGAAACCCTGTTCTCAGAAATCGCTAGTCGAGATTGTAAGTTCTCACTGTGGATCACCTGCAATCGAAGTTGCGATTCTTCCAAAGCTAAGTGATGTTCACATTCTGCATAACGGTCATGTTCAGATCTTATGTTACTACGGAACTCCTTCATGATCTCGTCCCTCTTCATGTCAGCAGCATCGAGCTCAGTTTCCAGTCGCCTGACGTTCATGGCCATGGTGTGCTTCATCGTCTGGTTCTGATTAGCAACCTCGAGCATCTCGATCTGTAAAGCACATGTCTGGTCGTTAGCATAGCCGACCGCTAGAGCTTCCTGCTTGGCATTCATCTCTGCGTTTTCCAGTTCCAGTCTGAGTTGATTGATGTGAGCATTCGCATCAGCGCCCACATGCACCGTAATTGCGTTCGCTTGTCCCATTTGTTCATCGAATTCCGAACGTAGTCGTGAATATTTGAATTCCAAATGAGATGCAGCTTCATTCGACATAGTCTGATACCTTTCCAACTCTTCGATCCTGTAGGTCGCACCTTCGTCTTCTTGTTGTGCAGCCTGTAACTCGAAGTTCAGCATCTGGAGTTGTTCGGTCATCGACATCATCTCTTGATGAGTGGTGCTTTCCAGGAAATTAAATTGTTGATAGGCATATGCTGTCGTCTCGCTCAATCTTGCCTGAAGTACAGATTCTTCTTCAGTGGCCCTTTCCAGTGATGTCTTGTATTCAGCTAATTCACTCTGATAGGCAGTGAAGATGTCGCTGCCACTTGATGGGGCGTTCACTTGTTGATAAGATCCTGTCCCTGATGGAGTAGCGTCCTGAATCGGTGAAGGCGGATTCGACGACGTAGTCTTTGCCTTGGTCCTTGGAGTCATCGGAGGCGACAATTGTCGTGCAGATGATCTTCTCTTTCCAGGGGTGCTGTCCCTATCTTCAATTGCTTGCATTGTCGAAATTTGTCTCTCTCTAGGAGCAACCAGATGTCGTCTGGGTTGGCTTGTTCTCAATTCTGAGGCATCGCTTCCACCAGTGTCGATACTCTGTGAAGAATTTGACTGCGTGCCGGCAGCTGGTGCAACGGCATGTCCAGAGAAAGAAAATGCATTATCGCTGCTATCCTGTTCAGTCATCTGTAAGGCCCACGGCTACCCGCTCGTAGGCTCCGTAGGAGTCCTACGGCTGATAACCTGCGAATCGGGGATTGTTGGCCCGATTATGTTCCTGTAATTGATGTTGATACTTGCAGTTGCAATGACGACCTCACGAGGGCGGCAGCTTCCGCATGGCTCTCATTTTCCCTGTAGCTGCAGTATGTCTTGAGCCGAAGAGGCCAACGTCGGAGTGCCCCTTTGACGATGGATCCTAGAGTGTATGATTATGCATATATACAGTGATCCGTAGCCTACACTCTATTCGCATATAGATAGAAATGCATATAGATATGTATATATATGTGGTTTGTGAATATATGCATATATGCATATACGTGTATATGTATATATGAATAAATGTGTGTATACATACATGTATATATTAGTAAATATGCATATATGTAAAAAGATATATGTATTTATGTATAAAGATATATATGTATATATGTAAATACAGTGAAATAAATACATATGCAAATATGCAGTCACATATGTATTATATATGTATCTTTATATTCATTTACATATTTATATATATTTATTCAAACATATTTATTTAAAAAAATATATTATATCTTAGATATATATATATATATACGCGCAACGCCTGGGCTTTGCCCGAGCGTTGCAGCGTAGAGGGTTCCCGTTCCCAATCAAATGTTGTTGCAACTTTACAGTCAATTGCGAAGATCAGCAAGGTATTAGGGAATATTAAAATCCCACCCCCGTTAAACTTTACGTTCAATTGGGAAAATCAACCAAAGTATTAGGGAATATGAACATCCCACCCCCGCTAAACTCTACATTCAAATGGGAAGATCAGCAAAGGCATTAGGGAATATTAAAATCCCACCCCCGTTAAACTTTACGTTCAATTGGGAAAATCAACCAAAGTATTAGGGAATATGAACATCCCACCCCCGCTAAACTCTACATTCAAATGGGAAGATCAGCAAAGGCATCAGGGAATATTAAAATCCCACCCCCGTTAAACTTTACGTTCAATTGGGAAAATCAACCAAAGTATGAGGGAATATGAACATCCCACCCCCGCTAAACTCTACATTCAATGGGAAGATCAGCAAAGGCATTAGGGAATATTAAAATCCCACCCCCGTTAAACTTTACGTTCAATTGGGAAAATCAACCAAAGTATTAGGGAATATGAACATCCCACCCCCGCTAAACTCTACATTCAAATGGGAAGATCAGCAAAGGCATTAGGGAATATTAAAATCCCACCCCCGTTAAACTTTACGTTCAATTGGGAAAATCAACCAAAGTATTAGGGAATATGAACATCCCACCCCGCTAAACTCTACATTCAAATGGGAAGATCAGCAAAGGCATTAGGGAATATTAAAATCCCACCCCCGTTAAACTTTACGTTCAATTGGGAAAATCAACCAAAGTATTAGGAAATATGAACATCCCATCCCCGCTAAACTCTACATTCAAATGGGAAGATCAGCAAAGGCATTAGGGAATATTAAAATCCCACCCCCGTTAAACTTTACATTAAATTGGGAAAATCAACCAAAGTATGAGAAAAATTAAAAACATCACACCCCCGCTAAGCTCTACATTCAATTGGGAAGATCAGCAAAGGCATTAGGGAATATTAAAATCCCACCCCCGTTAAACTCTACATTCAGTTGGGAAGATCAACATGGGTATTAGGGAATATTAAAATCCCACCCCCGTTAAACTTTACATTCAATTCGGAAGATCAGCAAAGGCATTAGGGAATATTAACATCCCATCCCCGCTAAACTCTACATTCAATTGGGAAGGTCAACAAAAATCCCACCCCCGTTAAACTTTACATTCAGTTGGGAAGATCAGCAAAGGCATTAGGGAATATTAACATCCCACCAATCAATTGGCAAGATCAGCAAAGGTCCACCTCCGTTAAACTTTTCATTCAAGTGAGAAGATCAACAAAATAGGGAATATTAAAATCTACATTCAATTGATGATGATGATGATGATGAGTTGCCCGTTGTCGTTGCGGTTCGGGGCAAAGCCCAGGCAATTGCTGTTTATATACATGCATACATACATATCAATATACATATCTATATTTCAACATTTGTGCAGTCACATGGCAGCGGCATGTATCCAGCAATTACCGGTTGCATGTGCAAGGGACCTTCGTGCTCAAGCGAGCGGAAAAGGATGGATGGATAGATAGATAGATAGGTAGATAGATAGATAGATAGATAGAAAATACGGTTAGATAGATAGAAAATACGGTTAGATAGATAGATAATATGAATAGATAGATAGATAATATGAATAGAAAGATAGATAGATAGATAGATAGATGGATAGATAGATAGACAGGTAGGTAGATAGATAGATAGATAGGTAGATAGAAAGATAGATAGGTAGATAGATAGATAGATAATATGATTAGATAGACAGATAATATGATTAGATAGATAGATAATATGATTAGATAGATAGATAATATGAATAGATAAATAGATAATATGAATAGATAGATAGATAAATAGACGGATAGCTTGGTAGACAGATTGGCTCGGATTAGGTTGGATCAGATTTGGATTCAGATCCAGATTTGGGTTTAGAATCAGATTTAGATTGGATTCAGACTTGATTTGATTAGCGCTGTTTGGATTAGATAAGATAGATGGATGGAAACATTGATTGCTTGCTCGCTTCATTGATTGATTGATTGATTGGTTGGTTGGTTGATTGATTGATTCATTGATTCATTGGTTGATATTGCTTTGATTAGACAAGAGTCGACTAGCTGTGCTTTGATTCTGCGGATTGTGATGTGCACAGCCTGCACAGCCCTTCGGGGCTAACCCGTGCCACCAGAGGTAGTCTGAAAGTGACAAGTTGCTTGGTGGTATGGGTGGCTTATCACCAAGGCCTTCAGAGATTCTATTTAGGGGTAGCGGAATAAATAAGACGACCTGTAGATTTGGATTCAGGTCGGATCAGATCAGATTAGATTCATAAGATGAATTACCATCTGGTTATTTAACACAGCCATGGAAAATCCCTTATTAATTGAGGTATTAGTGGGAAAATCATCTATAAATGGACCATTTTCCATAGCTATGTCAAATAACCAGAGGGTAAATGGATAAGATAAACCGAGACAAGCTAAGATTCGCTAAGATAAGCTGAGTGCCAGGTCAGCACACGTTGGCAACTGCTGTGACTTTTGTATGGGAGATTATAGGACCACTCAAGTTCATGGTTTATAGTGCATCTTTTCCAGGATAGAAAAGCAAAATCCTACTAAAATCCGACTAAAAAATAGTGATACAATCACGTGTCTATCCTTTTTGAGGGCACCTTAGTTGTAAACATGACTGGCCTTGAGTGGGTGCTATTGTACTGCGAGGTGGTGCTTCACTTCGCTAGCGAAACTTCGTTTATAAATGGTAGATATAGTAATGCTGATAGACTCCGATAGACGAAGAAATCCCAATAAAATAGTGAAGATTGACTCTTCCATCTTTTCGGGGAGTTACCGTACTTTTTGTTTATTCCGTTCAAAAAAACAACAAACACAACCGGAGGGCACCACCGGTCAACAGGATGCCTTTCCAACGCGGCGATATCTCCCTGAGGAGGCAGCAAACTTGGTGTGGCCATTTCCACAGAAAACCTTCGGGGATACCTGGCTTAGATCATTTCAGAAATGGAAACATCAAAACATATCAAAACAGATCAAAACCTAGACTTAGACTCAGTTTAGAATTATATAGATTTGATGATTTACTGTAGAATTTAGAATATGTCATCTTTTCCGTGCTGGAAACCAGCCTGCCCCGAATCTTTGGACATCAGTGTCCCCTTCACCAGGTCTCTGGAGACGGGTAGAGAACCCACAGGCTTTAAACTACTTTTTCTGGCATCCAATTGGCTGAAGTTAGCCCTCGGTCAGATAGAAATTGTCGAGTAGTCGCTCATGGTCCCAGCGCTTCAGGTCTACATCCTCTGCCATCCTCTGCGGCCGGTTGGTGACCTCGCGGAGTGCCCAACCAATTAGCGAAGCTGGGCGAAAAACTGGGCTAAGGATTGGATTTATGGTAGACATAGGTAGACATTCGTAGACTGATAGATACCCTCTGGTAAACCAACATAAATCATAACTATGGAAAATCACCACTATTTAACGACTGGGCCATGGCTTCAAGTTCGCAACCTGTTACAGTCATTACCAGGCCGGGTAGATAGCCGGAACGACGACCCCATTCGACCTCCTCACGGTAGCCATTCAGCTTGTCAAGATGTTCCTGGCTTGGTGCGGCCGCCGCAAGCGCGGCCAGTGGCCGGAAAAAGATGAGCGACTAAAGTCGCTGCAGAAAAATGGGACCTTCTTGGATGCGCAGTGGCACTTCTAATATATGTGTAGGAACATGCTAAGATATAGAAATATTATGAAATAATTAGCAGTCGAAATCATTTAAAGAAATAGTAAATGAGAAAGCGGCTCATACGACATAGCAACCATGGTAATAAACCATTTGTCGATTAGATATGCCCAAGAAATCTAATTCGACTTGAGGAACCAGTGAAAATTCCTGGCTAACCAATCGACATCAGCAGTTCACTAGCATACTGGGAGCACATAGCAAGGATAACCCACTTGAGGGACTCAAAAAAATCAGGGTTACGAACCAGTTGCTAAGTGGGACAATCCTCTAAGTCAGTCTTATGATTCTTAGATACACTTTGGAAATCTGACTTGGCCAAGGGAAATACTGCCATTACTGTACTATGTTAGGTGACGACCAAAATGAGGGTCGAATATGATGATCACTTTTTGGCATCCAACACTGAAGAATTGGCGCAAACAAAACTCAATGACTACATCATTGTATCTCGAAAAAAAACCTGCAGGTGTGTCTGAAGTATACCCAAAAGCCAATCTGAAGATAGGCGGAATAATGATCATTCAATGGGAATTTCAGGATCCTAAAATGGAGGTACTGTACCACATAAGGCCATATTTTGGGGGTATATCCCCTTACATAGGCCTGAAAAATAGGCCTTATATATGGTAGGTACCTCCAATCAATCGGTTCCTGAAATGGCCATTGAATCATCCATTGGAGGTACCATGTAGTAACATATGGTACCTGACACCATACGTTGAGATGCTGCCATTGGAACCTGCCATTGGGGTCCCGGACCGCATTGGATCGCTACCGAAAATATCCGATATGGACCAATGGAATATGGCGGGACAACATCTGTATGATGGGAAGCATCATGATCCCCTGTTTACTTGGTGGTTTATTCCAGTTAGTGGGTGGGTTGTAACCCCAGTTACAACTAGACTAATCCTACTTATCTTACTTTTAACTTTTAACTTGGGTGAACTAAGCCACTTGGCATTCCTGGGGTGAACCACCAAGTAGTTCCCCTTGAACACTTCCCATGGATACATATTGTGGCTCGACTGCCAACAGGTTGATGCTGTTTTTTCCTAGATAGACAAGCCCTTGCTTGACCTTACCCGATCTTCAGATCTTCCATGGCTCCTTTCTTGGAAAAAATTGGATCTGTTGGAGTTTGAGAGCCAAACATCCCAGGACCACCACAATCAAAACCGTGAAACCTCAAATTCACTCAGGAAAACCAGCACATCTAGCTGGTTGTGAAAAAGAAAAAAATCCTGACAAACAACGTGGCTGAAACGGGTGCACCGGTGGTGATTTGAGCGACCATCACAGTGACATTGTGCACACATGGTTTCAAAGGGCAGTCAGAAGCACCCGCCCGTGTCGTCGAACATGGCTAGCTGGAAAATCCCCCCAATTTCCTGTGGGGATTTGCCAGCCATCTTTGATGACCATCGACACCAGCCCCTCCAAGTCCCCCCGGCCCACTGGGTGCCTCATGCTTCCACCGGTCCGGCGGACACGGCACCATCATGCCAGGTGGCACGTAGGGTTTCTTGCCTTCCCAGGAACTGAGCGGGTCTAAGAGATCTTGCGCATCCGGGTCGACTAGGTCGCTGCCGTCCACCACCAAAGGGATCCTCAAGGCCAGTACCAAATGCTGGGTCAATGGACCAGTTTTGTTGTGGGGAAATTGAATCCTAGTCTGGGTGGGGGGAGCTCATTCTTCGTGGCAAAGAGGTTTTCGTTGGGTTTGTTTCTGTCCCCGATTGGTGAAGCATGTTTGAGAAGCTTGAAGTAGCTCGCGCATTCTAAGGACACTGCGCGAAGTAATTTGAATACTGATTCATCCCCAACTAATCTCTGTTGACCTTTGTGAAAAGATCTTGGATTTATACAAAAGGGTCGGTCTCTCTTTCACTTTCCTTTCCCCTCGTCGCTTCACCTTCGGTTCGCTTCGGCAGGTTGGTTGGATATGGATGAAAATCGGGCCGACAAAGATCTCCTGGCATTTTTGAGGTGGGTCGGGACTAAAAACTTTGCCATCGCCACCCACAGAGACCATCTATAGGTTAGAACTTAAACCCCTGAGACATGGTAAAACATCGGATATTTTCCATTATTTTCCAACATGTTCAGACAAGTCCATTCTGGCCACTAGAAAAATCTTAGAACCCTGGCCGCTTGACCGACGCGAAAGGCATCGTCCTTGGGTCGGCTTGAGAAAGACGATCTTTTTTACGCTGCCTGGTCAGCCAAGGGGGCTTAACCTGTGGTGTTTTGTAGCATTTTGTAGCTATCCAAGGGCTTTTCTGCCAAGATATCCATTCACCTCTGAAAATGTTCAGACACGCGCGCACAACTCAAAAATGGATTTGTGTGAAGGGGTACCTCGGTTCACCCATTATACTATACATAGATTATCTATGTCTATCTTCGTTCTCCCGAACTTCAAATTGCAATTTGTGGGTCCCATTTTAAGACAATTATACCATATGAGCCATGAAAAAATACAGTACCCCTATCCCACCTCCTTATACTTATACTGGTTCGCTACTATATTTCCTTATACTAGTTAACTAGTATATATTCCTATAATGGGCTCTAATAATCCCCAATAGGCCAGCTAGTAACTAACCTCAAAGGTGACTTCGAGTGTAAAACAACCACGACAGGTGCTGCATCGAGCCTCTCAGATGACGAAGTTTGGGAGAGCGCGCGCTGAGAGGAGCGGGAGATCTGGAGTTGATTCGAGCGAACAGACGAGCTACGCGTGGCCTACAAGGGAGACCATCACCCGGGCAGTCAAGTCATTGGGGTACTGTTTTGGACCAGTCATTCTGACTGCAAAAAAAAAAAAACGCCTTAGACGCCGTGAAGCAACAGTGTTTGGGCGAGAAAAAACGCCATAAGATACATCAATATGCCGATCATTTGGGGACAAATTTTAGATGCCAACAATCTGGAGACCCGCATCCAGCAAATCATTCTCGGGTGCAGCGGAGTCCCAGAAGCAGGTAGTGAAGCTGTTGAGACTTAAAGTCGTTGATTGTTGTTGTCAAGTCATCAGCCAAAAAAAATGGATAGTTTGACCATCGATCCAACGGAAGAGGATGGTTTCATCACGTTACTATCCTGTAAACTAATGTAGATATGGAGGGCCTACCATGAATTTAGATCATGTCCCTACGGAAACCATTGTTTTTCCACATCTACGTTTGTTTTTTCGGTGGAACCCTACAATTGGGTCGATGTAAGGTGGGCTCCCAATGGTCTCCCATGTTCCCACTGCTGCCCTCATCATTGCCATTCTCATCTCCCACCGAGCCAAGAACATCCCTTTGGGTGTGTCAAAAAATGGTGCCTATACCTCTCAGCCCCCCGATAACTATTGTTTGCCGTGTTTAGTGAGAAAAATGTGGCTACTCACAGAATTGCTGTGTAGGAGAAAAAGTCTTGAGACCTGTACAAGAAGACTTCTACTTCACACTGCTGCATTGCCTTTTGATGTTTGAAACATTCTTCGAAACTGATTGAAACCCTAACCCAGAACTTGGCATGTTTGATCTTTGCCCTCGCACCTCTGGATTTGGGCAGTCCTTACTCTGGGTGCAATTGACCGCTGGAGGCACTCTTCGCATGAAAGTGCTTTTCATGGTGCTCACCCCGTGTGTACATGGTCACATATTTTAGAATTTTAGTCACATTGACACACTAATCTCCAAATAATCCCGGCAAGAGACCCCAAACAGTGTGTAGCTAGGATTCTAAAGAGCAAGGCGGAAAGGACCTAACATCATCAGTGGCTGCAGGCTAGCAGGAACAGAGCGACCCTAGTAGTGAAAAGAAGAGATACCAGGTAAGATTCTGCAAGTTCCCTTTGTGAAGATCTCTGTAGAAGATCGTGCGCAAGATCTCCTTGAGAGGTTCTCTGTAGAAGCTGCTGTGCAAGATCCCTGTGCAAGGCTATCTGTACAAGATGTCTATACGAGATCTCCACAGAAGATCTTTGTAAGGGATCTCAAAGTAAAATCTCTGTTGAAGCTATCTATAAATGATCTCCGAGCAAGACCTCTGCTCCCTTCACCAGGTCTCTGTACAAGATCTCCATAAGAGGTCTACTGGCAAGATCTCTGTACAAGATCTCTATAAGAGCTCTCTCTGCACATATCTCTTGAAGAGGTCTCTTGGCAAGACATCTGGCCAAGATATCTATACGAGATCTTTCGGCAAGATCGCTTTACGAGATCTCTGTACAAGCTCTCTGTAAAAGCCCTCTTGGCAAGATGTATGTAAGAGACCTCTTGGCAAGATGTCTGCAACAGATCTCCATGCACTGTCTCTGCGCAAGGTCTGCAGAAGAGGTGTCCTGGCAAGATCTCTGTACAAGAGCTCTATAAGAGGTCTCTTGGCAAGATCTCTGCAAGGGGCGTCTTGGCAAGATCTCAGCAGATCTCTATGCAATGTCTCTGTGCAAGATCTCTTTATGAAATCTCCTATACAAGCTCTCTAGAAGAGTTCTCTTGGCAAAAATTATGTAAGAGACCTATTGGCAAGATCTCTGCAACAGATCTCTATGACTCTATGCGATGTCTCTGCACAAGATCTCCAAAAGAGGGGTCCTGGCAATATCTCTGTGCAAGATCTCTACAAGATGTCGCTTGGCAAGACTTTAAGAGATTGCCACAGAAGATCTTTGTGAGGGACCTCAGAGCAAGATCTCTGTTCAAGCTCTTGTAGAAGATCTCTGAGGAAGATCGCTGCTCTCTTCACCAGGTCCCTGTACAAGATCTCTATAAGAGGTCTCCTGGCAAGATCTCTGAACAAGATCTTGCATAAAAGGTCTCTTGGCAAGATCTCTATACAAGCTCCGGATAAGTCCGATAAGTAGTCTCTTGGCAAGATTTCTGTTTGAGATGTCTCGTTTTGTTCCAGCCTGTGCAGTCGAAATGCACATTAGACATGGACATTTCACAAGAGCCGTCTTGTGTGGAAATTTACAAGAAAAGTGCCGAACGCTAATCCGGCGACACCCTTTTTGTGCGAGCCTGCACGGACATTTCACAAGAGCCATTTCGTTGAAATGCCGGACGCTAATCTCGGGGCCGCTGTTTTGTGCCAGCCTGCGCAGTCGAAATGCACATGAACATGTCACAAGAGCCATTTTGTGTGGAAATTTACAGAGAAAATGCCGGACGCGACGGATATACCGTCTTGATTAAACACCGGGCCTTAACACCTACCGTAAGCACCCCTCAGTGTGGCAACACTGTTTAGGGAAAAAGAGGGACAGAGAGAGAGAGAGAGAAATCAGTCACATTGACCCATTAATCTCTAAAAAAGGGAGATAGAGAGAGAGAGAGAGAAAAAAAAAACAAAAAGCTAATCACGGCCACAATAGTCAAAAATCACTTTCTCTACATGTCCTTTTCCGATCAAAAAACATGTTTCAGATTCCAGAGTTCAGTATTTTTAGCTCAGTTTCCAAGGAAGTGAAGTTGCAGGCACTTCTGGCAGTCCGAGGCCAAGCGGGTGGCCCTGCATGGCAAGTGGGCCATGCTCTATGGCAAGGAACCACCCCAAGCGAGATCTGGCCCTTGGCACCTTTGGCACCCCTTGGCCAGGCCCCCGGTGAAGCATCGGGCGCAACGCGTGTTGCACCGCAGCCCATGGCGCGACAATTTGTTTTGTGCAACTGGAGCCAAAGAATAAACCTCAGCAAACAAGGCTATCAAACATATTTCAGATGGGTCAGTTGTGGTCAGTACTCATCACTTCTAAACTTTGGTTCTTGGTTGAGAGATGGGTAGAATGGTGTCGTCTTGATTCGGTTTGCCTCTGGTCAATCATCATGTTCCCAAGTGGGGATCTACACTATGATGAAAAATATTGATATATTTGGGTGTTTTTAAAAAGGGAGATCCCCAAGTCACCATGGGTGTCAATACTAAACTGGTCTAATGACTTGGATGGTGTGGGGGTAGCCCCATCTTGGGAAACCTCCATATCCTTTTAAACAACAACCACCAAAGTGTCGAGCATGGAACCTGAAGCGGCTCCAACAATGACTCAACCCAACAGCATGATGGACGCTGCCGATGGCCGCTCAGCCGCTGTGTCTGAAAATAATGCGTACCCCAATTTTGCGCCATGTTGTATCAAATTTTGGCAGTATACCCATCCTCTCTGGGCCTGGTCTTGGGTGAAAGTCGACCACTCTCCGCCACCAGCGCAAGAATGGGGGCACGGAAACTCCTCGGCGGCTAAACTGCTGGGACTCTCCCCTGAGACCTCCAAAGGGCATCTGAAAAATCCGTATAAATATGGTGACAGCCCCAATAAATCGTGATTTTACCCAAATACAGTAAGCTTCGGTGGTATCCCCAACAGCCGCAACGTGTCATTTTTACAAATCTTTCCTGCACCAAACTCTCCCAGACCTTCTCCGGAACCTTCTCTCTGAAACCCTGTTGAACCTGACCTGGCTCTGCACCAAAGCCTCCCAGACTTTCTCCGGAACCCTCTCCGGAACCCTGTTGAACGTGATGTGGCTCTGCGCCAAAGTCTCCCACACCGGGTTGTGTTGAACCTGACGTGGCTCTGCACCCAAGCCTCCCAGACCTTCTCTGGAACCTTGTTGAACCTGACCCGGCGTCTGCACCAAAGCCTCCCGGAACCTTCTCCTGACCCGGCGCCTGCAGCGGGCTGAAGACCCCATTAGCTTACGCTGTTGGGGAAAAAACTCAGCTACTATCCCCAACAGCTTGAAAGCTTCTGCGTGTTTGCCATAAAAGGTGCTTATGCCACGTAAGAACCCTTTCGAATTTCACAAAGCATCTGCACGAGAACCCTCCGGAACCTCATCAGGTAGCTGCACCGGAAACTTCCGGAACCCCACCAACTACCTGCACCAAAACCCTCTAGAACCTAACCAAGTATCTGCACCATAGCCCTCCGGAACCTCACCGACTACCTGCACCGGAAACTTCCGGAACCTCACAAGGTATCTGCACCGGAACCCTCCGGAACCTCACAAGGTATCTGTACCAGGACCCTCCGGAATCGCACAGAACCCCTCCGGAGCCTCCGGAACCTCACGACGTATCTGCACGGAACCCTTAGCCTTAGGAAACAGGTGAAAGAAGGTGTCCGGTCTTCCAGAGTAGGCAAGAAATATGCTGTTGTTGAAGTCTTCTGTCCGCCACGCTTTGTGCCGGATGTTAAGAAGCTGGGGCTCAAGGGACTTTCCGTTGACACGTGCACTGGATGGGATCTCAATAAAACCAAGAGTCAGGAGTGGGTCTTGAAGGAACTTAAGGATAATCCACCAGAACTATTAGTAGTTTGCCCTCCTTGCACTGATGCCGGTGGTTGGTTTCATTTGAACTCCAAACGCATGCCAGCTCATGATGTTCTCAGAAGAAAGCTTATCCTCAAAAGACCGAAAGCCTTCTCTAAAAAGCTCATGCAGCAACAGATAGATGCCGGTGGTAGGGTTTTGTTTGAGCATCCGAGTCCATCCTGCTAACCCCCCCTTCTCCCAGTTTTGTATGTTTTTACTTTTGGGAGTGTTAATGCCACAGCATCCAGCAGGGTATCAGCATTGCAGTGATCCTGGCCATTTGGCCCAATCATATCCAGGAACCTTTACCAGAGTCGCGGTTGCTATGGTGTGACAAAGTGTCCGTTTGTGGGACCAGGAGGTCGTTGCAAGGTTCAGGAGAACCCCATAGGTTTGCTGCCAACAACATATATATATATATATACACCATGTATATATGATTGGGATTGATTGGTAGTCTCTGTGCTAAAACCACCTGACTTCATTTTTTTTTTGGGAAGTTGCCGGGCCACCTCTCCAGCTGGTGCATCACATCCGCCACGGTGTGATGAGGCTCCACCTGCAGGTCCACCAAGTTTTCTGGGATGTTCTGGGATTTTCTGGGATTTTCTTGGGCCTTTATGGGCCTTGAAGTGGGATGTTGTAAAAGTGTGGTTGGGGGGTAAAAGTTGGCTTATTGCATGGCTTCCTTTTTAAACTAGTTAGATTCGGGGTGCTTGATCTAAAGGAATTGGTCCACCAAACAGCAAGACTTATAGTTGATTTATGATGAATAAGTTTATTTTAGAACTGTTGGATGTTGGACGTATGGAGGAAATCTTCGCACTAGTTCAATGGGTTGTTGAACTAACATACCACCGGGGGGGGCCCTCCTGAGTTGACTAATTTCAGGGCTGATCTTAGTGGCTTCCCATAGTGAGATCCAATACATTGCGGGTTTCCATCGGATGTTATTTAATAGCTGAGGTTGGAGTGAAGGGATCAGTGAAAGCTACAAAATGGTCAAATTGGATTACTACTGGGTCTGCCAAATTAGAGGCCTCCACGGAGATATCCTTTAGCAATCCAGGTCTGGAACTTCCCCCCATCAGAATGTCCCTGAAAAAATTGGGTGATTTCCCACAAAATGACACTCCCGAATGAAGATAGACCCTGCCAAACAGGGCTTCGAAGTCTACATTCAATGGTCTTTTTCATGGCCTATGTTACTTTGGAGTAGGATTTCCTATTATATACCCTCTTTGATTCCCAGAGGTTTTCCCCTGTGGGACTGGTTCCTGGTCGCTGAAATGAGGCGCAAAAAAAACTGGGCGTTGAGGAGATCATCTTCCGAACCACTTCCCAAAACAAATTCGGAGGGATTCATCACAAACTTCGCGATGACAAAAACCTTTACTCAAATGTCATACGGGATGGCTTAAAATCATTTAAAATCTATGATACCCCCATATAAACCATTTTTTTCAGAGGGTTGACAAGTTGACCCCTCCCAAATTATAAGGGAAATTGCAACAGGGATCTATGATTGTTGAGGAGATCATCTTCCGAACCACTTCCCAAAACAAATTCGGAGGGATTCATCACAACTTCGCGCTAACAAAAACCTTTACTCAAATGTCATATGGGATGGCTTAAAATCATTTAAAATCTATGATACCCCCATATAAACCATTTTCTTCAGAGGGTTGACAAGTTGACGCCTCCCAAATTATAAGGGAAATTCCAACAGGGATCTATGATTGTTGAGGAGATCATCTTCCGAACCACTTCCCAAAACAAATTCGGAGGGATTCATCACAACTTCGCGCTAACAAAAACCTTTACTCAAATGTCATATGGGATGGCTTAAAATCATTTAAAATCTATGATACCCCCATATAAACCATTTTCTTCAGAGGGTTGACAAGTTGACCCCTCCCAAATTATAAGGGAAATTCCAACAGGGATCTATGATTGTTGAGGAGATCATCTTCCGAACCACTTCCCAAAACAAATTCGGAGGGATTCATCACAACTTCGCGCTAACAAAAACCTTTACTCAAATGTCATATGGGATGGCTTAAAATCATTTAAAATCTATGATACCCCCATATAAACCATTTTCTTCAGAGGGTTGACAAGTTGACGCCTCCCAAATTATAAGGGAAATTCCAACAGGGATCTATGATTGTTGAGGAGATCATCTTCCGAACCACTTCCCAAAACAAATTCGGAGGGATTCATCACAACTTCGCGCTAACAAAAACCTTTACTCAAATGTCATATGGGATGGCTTAAAATCATTTAAAATCCATGATACCCCCATATAAACCATTTTCTTCAGAGGGTTGACAAGTTGACGCCTCCCAAATTATAAGGGAAATTCCAACAGGGATCTATGATTGTTGAGGAGATCATCTTCCGAACCACTTCCCAAAACAAATTCGGAGGGATTCATCACAACTTCGCGCTAACAAAAACCTTTACTCAAATGTCATATGGGATGGCTTAAAATCATTTAAAATCTATGATACCCCCATATAAACCATTTTCTTCAGAGGGTTGACAAGTTGACGCCTCCCAAATTATAAGGGAAATTCCAACAGGGATCTATGATTGTTGAGGAGATCATCTTCCGAACCACTTCCCAAAACAAATTCGGAGGGATTCATCACAACTTCGCGCTAACAAAAACCTTTACTCAAATGTCATATGGGATGGCTTAAAATCATTTAAAATCTATGATACCCCCATATAAACCATTTTCTTCAGAGGGTTGACAAGTTGACGCCTCCCAAATTATAAGGGAAATTCCAACAGGGATCTATGATTGTTGAGGAGATCATCTTCCGAACCACTTCCCAAAACAAATTCGGAGGGATTCATCACAACTTCGCGCTAACAAAAACCTTTACTCAAATGTCATATGGGATGGCTTAAAATCATTTAAAATCTATGATACCCCCATATAAACCATTTTCTTCAGAGGGTTGACAAGTTGACGCCTCCCAAATTATAAGGGAAATTCCAACAGGGATCTATGATTGTTGAGGAGATCATCTTCCGAACCACTTCCCAAAACAAATTCGGAGGGATTCATCACAACTTCGCGCTAACAAAAACCTTTACTCAAATGTCATATGGGATGGCTTAAAATCATTTAAAATCCATGATACCCCCATATAAACCATTTTCTTCAGAGGGTTGACAAGTTGACCCCTCCCAAATTATAAGGGAAATTCCAACAGGGATCTATGATTGTTGAGGAGATCATCTTCCGAACCACTTCCCAAAACAAATTCGGAGGGATTCATCACAACTTCGCGCTAACAAAAACCTTTACTCAAATGTCATATG